TTGGGCATTTTAAAGATCAAATAACATCAAGAAGCGGTTAAAACATGGGTAAAGTAATATCAAACACATATCGAAATATGCCAAACATCAGCTACCATTAAGACAAAGTGACAGTTCAAATTGTTGATTCATCTGTTTATATTTTAACTCTTCCAGTCCAATCCCCTTCCCTTTTGCTCTCTCCAATGAACTTGCTTTTACTTTCAGGTGCACCACCTGGTTTCAAATGTGGCATCAACTATCAGCCCCTGACGGTGGTGATCTTGCTTGTGTACAGCGCGCTTTCTGCATGATTAGCAACAACACTGCTGTTGCTTAGTTCTTCTCCCAAATTGACATTCATGTAAGCCAATCGTGCATTCGTCCACTGGTATGTTGGTGAAGGTATGGACTAGGGAGGAAGGTGAATTCTCAGAATCCCCGGAGGACCTTGCTGCCCTTGAGAAAGACTACGAGGAAGTTGGAGCAGAAGGTGCTGAAGAAGAGAAAAGGGAAGAATACTAAATATGGTCTTGCTACGACGATGATGATTTGTGTGCCTTAGGCAAATCTTCTTGCTTGTGTATCTTATTTTACTTCGACGGTCTCTAATTTTTTGAAGGCAAAGTAGTCTAGATATGCTCTCCTGAATTGTTTGCCCAGGGATGTTTTGGAAGTAAACTACATTTTTAAGTTGTATGAATAGCCAGATCTACTTTCTTCTCCCTCTTATTTAGCAATTATTCGCAATAAATGATGCGATGAGGAAGAATCTGAATCTGAAGATAACATCCACGAGGACATTTACGGACTTTCATACCAGAAATGCTTGCTAGTTAATGACATGTTGTGGCATCAGATATCCCCAGTAAGCAAAATTTAGCATACAAGTAGCCAATCATTTTCTAGTTTTGGTTCACTTATCCTTGGATGCAGATGCCAAATTCTGATCAGCTATGCTCTTCTTTTACCGGATTACAAGGCTCTAATCTTATCGTTATGTGTATCACCATTTAAACTTCTATAGTACTTGATAATCATTTAACTAGTACTTGCTACAACAACTTAATAACAACTAACCAACTTAAGTAGATCAGCTTTTGCATTTTTTAAGTCGTAAAGATTGTGGACTAGCTAGAAGGAGAAGGTCTATTCACAATCCCAAGTCATATAAACCATATTTAATTCAAAATAATTGCTTAGACCGATGTCATGAGAGGCTCCACATCCATAATATTCTAGTCTAACTCTGTGCCAATTGAAGCAAGAAAACATATTAAGGGTATTCATATTCCTTTCCTTTTCTCTAAAACGTTTATCCTTGTTTTAACTTTGCAATCAGTTCTAAAACTACATTTCAATTGCCCACTCTCTCTTGATTGACAAGGATAGAGGACAAGAAATGAAAGGTAAAATCAAACGAATAGGAAGACATGAGATAGCTAATATTAAAAAAAGACCCTTGAATTTGTTTAGCATAACAAAGAGCACAAAGGGGGAAGATCCCAAAGAGGCTCAGAAGGATCATAGAAATTTTCAATGTATTCTTGAACACCATTCACTGCATATAGTGATGCTGATATAGACCTTTCCATTTTCATTCTCTCAAATTCTACGAGCCCCATCTCAGTTGTCTCATCCAAAACCACATTCTTGGGATGATCCAACAATTCTTGTGCAAAATTCCATGACATTTCAAGCTGTGAGGAATTAGTAAAAGAAAATGAATTAGAAGCAGAAGAAGACGAATATCCCACATCGAATTCATCAGAGCAGTTGCTCAGATCAGGCTTATATGTGTCATCAAACAGTTGACTTTCTTGTAGTTGCAATTCTTGATTACAAGAAAGTGTTATTTGATCATAAGACATGTAATCATCTGCTAGTGCTGCATTTTCAAGAAGATGGATCGGTTCTATATTCTGACTAGAAATAGAATCATCAAAATAACTAGTACTGATCATTGGACTTGAATTATTGCTGTTGTTACTAGTCACACTACTAGTATTTTGATTGATGTTGTGACTACTAGTTGTAGAAGAAGCTGAACTCTGCTCCTTCTGATCATGGCTGCTCGGCTTTGCAGTTTTCTTGCTGTTGAGGAGATTTTTAATCCGCGAAGCAAGTGGTGAATCAACTGAGACTCGAGTAACGAAGTTGGTTCGTGTGTTTGATCCACGAAGAAGGCAAGCAGCTTGATCGTAAGCACGAGCAGCTTCTTCAGCAGTTTCAAAAGTTCCAAGCCACATTCTTATCTTCTGTGTTGTGTCTTTGATCTCAGCTACCCATCTCCCTGAAGGCCTTTGCCTCACACCAACAAACTTGTTACTTCTATTGTTTCTGCCCTTCAATTTGGTCACTTTTGCCTCTTTTTGCTGTTGTTTTTGGAAGTTAATTTCCATTGCAATAAAGGTTTTTAGGGAGAAGAAAATAGTAAGAGCTGAGGAGTATTTGAGGCTTCTTTACTTGGTCTAAATGATAGTAGTGGAGAAAGTTGTCTACATGTCTTTGTTTCTGTTAATGTGGGCTTTATATATATATATCTGAGATACCTATAATTCAAAGTTGTGCTCTTGTCTCATATTCTGTTGCTTTCCTATGTTTGTAAGTTTGTTTGTATTAGGTAATATTCTGGTTTCATTATCTCCAAATAAAAAATAAAGATGGTATTAATGTTAAAGGATGACTTGTTCTTTATTCCCTATTTTAATAAGAAATATTTTATTTTCAAATTTTGGTTTAGTGTTAGTCTGACTGATTAATGATTATATCATGCACCTGAGTGTGGGGATCGATGACCCTCTTTGATCCAAAAGTTGAATCTATCTTTGTTGATTTGGTCATAACTAGGAGAGTTATGGTCATAATACTGTTGATTTGTTTACAAATTTCTTTTCAACTCAAGTTATTTGTGCTTGTAAGTATCGGATAATAGATTGTTTTGATTAGTTTTTTGTAGGGATGGAACACATCTATATATATTTTTTATTTATTTTATGCAATTTTACCCATTTAAAAATATTTACTATAATTATATTATTTTATAAAATATTACAAATTAAATACACATGGGGCTTACGCCTCGCTAAGGCATATATAAAATGCATCGCCTTACGCCCGCGCATTTTAAAACACTAACTATAATAACTAGGTCAAGAATGAAATTTTATGAATTTTAAAATTTGTATGGATCAAATTAAATTGAGTTATAACCTAAGTATTTAATTTCCAAATCATAATCAGTGGCGAAACTAGAAATTATTACAAACGGATTCAAAAAATAAATTAAAAGAGCGTCACACGTAAAACCTACAATCTGAAGCAATTTTTGAACCACCTTTGATTGCTAGACAAGAATTTTTTTTTTATGAAAAAGATTCAACCATTTATATAAATACAAAATAAATTATCTTTCTATCCTATTTGTAATATGTAATTATATTTTTAACGAAGAGATTGAACCTTTTTTGACGCATGTAGCTTCGCTTTTGATCGTAATTATAAGTACACAAGTCCGGGACGAAGCTAAGTTGGGTTAAGGTTGGTCAAATGACCACCCTTTATTGAAAACTTACATTATATATATAGGTAAAATATTAGGTTTTAGAGGTATATAACATATATTGAACACCATTTTTAGGGAATTATTTTTTTCTTTCAAGTTAGAATACCATAGGAAAAATTTCTGACTTCGCCACTGCACAATCCTTACGACTTAAATTGAAATTTTCACAACTATGATGAGGAAAGCAATGTCCTTAAATTGAATATTATTGCTGAGTCGCAATGATAGAATTATATTGAAAAGGATGTGCAAACATAGGGTAGTCAAAAGTTCTTTGATTTTACATGCAGTTGGACTTAGTAATAAGGGTTAAAAGTTAAAACAACCTAGTCCTTGTCTTCTTCTTAGGTCCGATATGCTTTGATCTAAGGTCAAAATATTCAAAATAATGAGAAAAGAAAACTGCAAAGGGTACAAAACCTGCCACTTGGAGGCAAAATAGAGATCTTCTAGATAATCCAAATAACAAAGAGTTCAAAATTATGTTTACTTATTTCCTCCTTTTTCTCTTCTTTTTGGTTTTGGTCAGATTATTAGTTAATGAATTAATTAATTGATTAAGAGATAATGACCTAGGCAAAATAGAAAATCTTATCGTGCACGCTGCTCTTGTTACATCACCAAACAAAGAAAATGAATTCCATTTAAATAAATTCCAAGCTTCAATCAACCTTTTTGGCATAAACGCCAAATTTGCACTTTTGGTTGGAAATCACAATCCATCAAAATTTTAAAATTCATGATAAAGACAAGAAGGCTGCTCATCTAAATAATGAAGTATCGAGGATAGGAGATGCTAATTTAGTTAAAGCAAATTTTAGTTTTTCCACCCATATCAAGTTGGGCAAATGAACATTAATATTAATTAGTTTACCTGGTTATTAATTAGTTTACCGGGTCAGGTCAGTTTAATAAAACAAGAGTAATGGGTCAGGTTGGTTTATTATTTAATATCAGGATATAGATGAAATACATCAGATTGTGACACTTGTCAAAATCTGGTGCTAAATATTTTATTAGTAAGGTTTATTACAAAAAAAGGCATGTGTGACCCAACTTATACACGGCAAGGGCAGGACTGAGTCCACCTGTTAATGACGGGCAAATGTGTACAATTTCGTATAGTTTACTGGCATATCTAGACCTTTTTCCGACAAAATTGAGGTGACAATGTATGGTTAACTTACAATAATTTATACAAAGACACTAAATAGCTGGCATGGTTAAATTTTTTTAATTCCATTATAACTTTAAAGAAATCCCTTAAAACAAAAGGAACTAATATGGATTAACAAAAGTAGAATAAGAAGGGAGATAAAAGACATGCCCAAATGGGGTGAGTATTTGTCACTAGTTACAGTTATAGAAAGTAACAAAGAAAATGACATGTTCAAATGAGGACAATGTTGGTCAGTAGTTACAGTTTACTCTTTAAAATGAATAAGGTAATTAAGGAAAGATTATATAAGCTGAAAACATTGAACTTCTCTCAACTCCCTATCATCTTCGTTTGTTCATTTAGGGGTGTACATGGACCGAGTTGATTCGATTTTTATTAAAATTAAATCAAACCAAATCAACTATATCGGTTTGGATTAGTTCGGTTTTGTCGAATTTTTCGAATTTTTTGTTACTTAAATATTATTTCAATCTTTCTTTATTTTTAAAGTAAATATATATTTATTAGAAATTTTAAAAATTGGCAAACATATTATCTATTAAAATATTCATATGAGAGAATTTTCTTACCAACACATGATAGTTATTCTTTTAGTCGTCTGATAATAATTTTTCGTTGATGTACACTTTTAAGGTTAACCGAATTTAGTAATTAAACATAAAAATCAATATGATACCGAAATAATAATAACCATTTCAAATTCGAAAAAGATATAAGAATTTAATAGATCTTGACATATGAATATGAAAGAACAAAGAGATTGATGCATTTCAGTAACACTTGATAAGAAAGTGATCATACAACCCATTATTATAAATATGGAGCACTTCATATTCTATTAAATATTATATCCTAAAAGAGAATCCCAAATATTTCTAGACATTTTTTTAAAAAAAATTCTATATAAAATTTTAAAAGTATATATAAAAATTATATATTTATATGTCGGTTTGGTTCCGTTTTTTTACTCAATACCAAACCAAATCAAACCAAACTTAGTCGTATTTTTTAATCAGTTTGATTTCACTTTTCAGTTTGGTACGATTATCCGGTTCGGTTTGTACACCGTTACTTCATGCATCATCTTTTCTAGCCAACTCCATTTCTTGTCTTCATTTAGAGGATTATTTTGGTTTCTACTCACAAAAATTTCAAATACATGCCTATCGTGCTAATTGCTAAAGGTTAAAGGTCAATTATAAAGGAAGAGAATGTTAATTCACGAATGAGGCAAAGTCAGCGGTAAGTCTAAATAGTAGGTACAGCTTGGGAAGGAATTTAACGAGGGAAGAGGAATATTCTCATTTGATTATTCACAAGTTTTGCTTAGCTCTAGGTGATAATTATAGAATATTAAATGTCTATTTCAAATGTTATTATCATATCCCTAATTAATGTTTAATATGGCTAAGCCACGAGTGTATGTAATTGGCTTAGCTGGAAAGATGCCCCTTTGATTTGTTTTCTTGAAATGACCTTAACTTTTAGAGGAAATTGATTTTTCCCATTTTTGTTAGTTTATGATTACTTCCTTTTATTATGTGTTAGTTGGGTTTTAGGAGCAAGGAGGACCAAGATTAGGTACTACTACCTCGTCTCTTATTATGTGTTGTGTTTCTCTTTTACACGTCCCTAAAGAAATATTAATTAGAAAAGGGACTTGACTATTCGATCCTTATTTATGTCATAAGATATAATCTTTATTCATTGAATATTATTCTATTTATGTGTTATCTCCATCTTCAAAAATAATTATTACTAAGGGTAAAAAAGAAAAAAAATAATCAGTTTTATCTTGAACTTCTAAAATGACAATTAATTTGAAATTACTATTTTTAATAACCACGACTGTTAATACGAGACGGAGGGAGTATTATTTAAGCTATTTTTGGGCCTCGCTCCCTTTTGAAATATAGAGGCTTTTGCATCTATACCCGATTTTGAGGTCACAATTGAACTTATACCCGCTTTGCAAAAAAGTTTGCAAGCGTACTTACTTTACGATCAACTTCAGACTTATCGGGTTTGAAGTTAAAAAAATTAGTCTGAAGTAAAAAAATTGCACTTCAGATGCACTTAAGGCCATAAAGTCTGAAGTCCAATTCACTTAAGGCCAATAAGTCTGAAATGAAAATTTGCACTTGAGATGCACTTAAGGCCAAATAGATCTGAAGTAAAAAATTGCGCTTCAGATGCACTTAAGGCAAAAAGGTCTGAAGTGCAACAAACATTTTGCTATACTTAATGCCAATAAGTCTGCAGTGAAAAATTGCACTTCATATGCACTTAAGGCCAAAAGGTCTGAAGTGCAACAATCGGTTTGCTACACTTAAGGCCAATAAGTCTGAAGTGAAAAATTACACTTCAGATGCACTTAAGACCAAAAGGTCTGAAGAGTAACTAACATTTTTATGAACTTAAGGCCAAATAGGCCTGAAGTGCAAATTGCCCAGAAACAGAAATTTGTTCTTCGAATTATAACAATCCAATATACGATTTAATACATAAATCTACTCCAAATGAGCTCAAATTTGAAACATGTAACGACCCGACTTGTTATTTTAAGAATTTACGCCCTGTTCAGTGACTTAAGGTCTCGAGCAGCCTCGCAATATATATTATGACCCGCGTGTATGGTCGAGTTTAATTTACGGATGATTCGGAGTGATTTGGGATACTTAGTCCCTAAAAAGGAAGCGTAAGTCTTAGGATTTTGATCGTAGTCGGAACTGTGTAAATACGACTC